ATCAGTATCTATGGTCAGTGTCTATGATCATTATCTATGTTCAGTATCAATGATCAGTGTCTATGATCAGTATCTATGGTCAGTGTCTATGATCAGTGTCTATGATTAGAGTCTATGGTCAGTGTCTATGGTCAGTATCTATAGTCAGTGTCTATGATTAGTGTCTATGGTCAGTATCTATGGACAGTGTCAATGATCAGTATCTATAGTCAGTGTCTATGATTAGTGTCTATGGTCAGTATCTATTGTCAGTGTCTATGATTAGTGTCTATGATCAGTATCTATGGTCAGTATCTATGGTCAGTATCTATGGTCAGTGTCTATGATTAGCGTCTATAGTCAGTATCTATGGTCAGTATCTGTAGTCAGTATCTATGATCAGTATTTATGATCAGTATCTATGGTCAGTATCTATGATCAGTGTCTATGATCAGTATCTATAATCAGCGTCTATGGTCAGTATTTATGATCAGTATCTATGATCAGTATCTATAATCAGCGTCTATGGTCAGTATATATGACCACAGTCTATGATCAGTGTCTATGATCACAGTATATGTTCAGTGTCTATGATTAGTGTCTATGGTCAGTGTCTATGGTCAGTGTCTATGCTCAGAGTCTATGATCACAGTCCACGATTAGTGTCTATGATTAGAGTCTATTGTCAGTATCTATGGTCAGTGCCTATGGTCAGTGTCTATGATTAGAGTCTATGGTCAGTATCTATGATCAGGCCTATGGTCAGAGTCTATGGCCAGTGTCTATGATCAGTATCTATGGTCAGTATCTATGGTCAGTATCTATGGTCAATATCTATGGTCAGTATCTATGGTCATTATTTATGATCAGTGTCTCCAGTCAGTATCTATGGTCAGTGTCTATGATCAGTATCTATGGTCAGTATCTATGATCAGTGTTTATGGTCAGTATCTATGGTCAGTATCTATGATCAGTGTCTATAGTCAGTATCTATAGTCAGTGTCTATTATCAGAGTCTACGATCAGAGTCTATGGTCAGTATCTATTGTCAGTATCTATGATCAGTATCTATGGTCAGTGTCTATGATTAGAGTCTATGGTCAGTGTCTATGATCAGTGTCTATGATTAGAGTTTATGGTCAGTGGCTATTATCATGTCTATGATTAGAGTATTTGGTCAGTGTCTATGATCAGAGTCTATGGTCAGTGTCTATGATCAGTATCTATGGTCAGTATCTAATGTCAGTGTCTATGATCAGTGCCCATGATCAGAGTCTATAGTCAGTGTCAATGATGAGAGTCTATGGTCAGTGTCTGTGATCGGAGTCTATGGTCAGTGTCTGTAGTCAGTGTCTATGGTCAGTGTCAATGATGAGAGTCTATGGTCAGTGTCTGTATTCAGTGTCTATGGTCAGTGTCAATGATGAGAGTCTATGGTCAGTGTCTGTAGTCAGTGTCTATGGTCAGTGTCAATGATGAGAGTCTATGGCCAGTTTCTATGATCTGAGTCTGTGGTCAGTGTCTATGATCTGAGTCTATGGTCAGTGTCTGTGGTCAGTGTCTATTGTCAGTAATTATGATAAGATTCTATGGTGAGTGTCTATGGTCAGTAATTATGATAAGATTCTATGGTGAGTGTCTATGATCAGAGTCTATGGCCAGTGTCTGTGGCTAGCGTCTATGTTCATGGTCTATGGCCAGCTCACCTTTTGATGATGACTTTAGCCAGCTTAAGGACGTTGACCACAGCCATGGTAATCCGCTTGAACTTCTGCAGGCACTGAAAGTGGACAGTTGGTTGATGTGGTGGTGGAAAAGGGGTGGGGCTGGGATTATGAAAGTAGATAAAGGAGGGATGAAAATGAACAAAAAGGGTTTAAAAATAAACGACGGGGAATACCAGTAGACAAGGAGGAATGAATGGAGTCAGACAGGGAGAAATATATGCAGTTAGACAGGGAGCAATGAATGCAGTTAGACAGGGAGAAATATATGCTGTCAGACAGGGAAAAATGAATTCAGCCAGACAGGAAGAAATGAATGCAGAGAGACAGGGAGAAATTAATGCAGTCAGACAAGGAGAAATTAATGCAGTCAGACAGGGAGTAGTGAAAGCAGTCAGACATAAATAAATGAGTGCCGTCAGAGAGGAAGACATGAATGCAGTAAGAAAGGGAGAAATGAATGCAGTCAGACAGGGATAAATAAATGCAGTCAGAGAGGGAGAAATGAATGCATTAAGACAGAAAGAAATTATTGCAGTCAAACAGGGAGAAATAAATGCCGTCAAACAGAAAGAAATTAATGCAGTCAGACAGTTAGAGATGAATGCAGTCAGACAGAACGAAATGAATGCAGTAAGACAGGGAGAAATGAATGCAGTCAGACAGGGACAAATGATTGCAGTCAGACAGGAAGATATGAATGCATTCAGACAGGAAGAAATGAAGGCAGTCGCAGGAAGAAATTAATGCCGCCAGGCAGTAAGAAATGAATACAGAAAGACAGGACTTATATTGTCCTAATGTGTTACTTTGTTCCTCTAAATATTGATGGCATTTGCGGGAGACAACTGCACAAACCGGATTTGGAAACATACAGAGCAATGACAATAGTCTAGGCTGTGTCAGACAAGAGGCTCTGTATCCAATCGTTGGTTTAGGGATGACAACATAACCACGCAAGCGCCCTAGCAACAAAAAGGTTGAGCTGAGTATAGATAGATTATGCAGAAAGCAACTCACACACTTATTGAGTATGACGAAAAAGATTAAAAAGGGTAAACTCCGACTAGAATGAGTTGTCAGCTGCAGAAATCTCGTCGTAAGAAAATGTATTGCCTGTAACACGAGGCATGCCGGGTTGAGAGGACATGGAGGAACAGACAGACTGGCCGTTCTGGCAGTAGTTGGTGGATAAAACATTATGGACAGGGCAGACGTACAGAATACGATGGGTTCTACAGACAGTGAGACCAGAAGTGAGAGATCATGAACCGACTGTTTGAGACAAGGAGTGAGAGACCATAAACCGACTGTTTGGGGCAAGAAGTGAGAGACCATGAACCGACTGTTTGAGACAAGGAGTGAGAGACCATGAACCGACTGTTTGAGACAAGAAGTGAGAGACCATGAACCGACTGTTTGAGATAAGGAGTGAGAGACCATGAACCGACTGTTTGGGACAAGGAGTGAGAGACCATGAACCGACTGTTTGAGATAAGGAGTGAGAGACCATGAACCGACTGTTTGGGACAAGGAGTGAGAGACCATGAACCGACTGTTTGGGACAAGGAGTGAGAGACCATGAACCGACTGTTTGAGATAAGGAGTGAGAGACCATGAACCGACTGTTTGGGACAAGGAGTGAGAGACCATGAACCGACTGTTTGGGACAAGGAGTGAGAGACCATGAACCGACTGTTTGAGACAAGGAGTGAGAGACCATGAACCGATTGTTTGAGACAAGGAGTGACAGACCATGAACCGACTGTTTGAGATAAGGAGTGAGAGACCATGAACCGACTGTTTGGGACAAGGAGTGAGAGACCATGAACCGACTGTTTGGGACAAGGAGTGAGAGACCATGAACCGACTGTTTGAGACAAGGAGTGAGAGACCATGAACCGATTGTTTGAGACAAGGAGTGACAGACCATGAACCGACTGTTTGAGACAAGGAGTGAGAGACCATGAACCGATTGTTTGAGACAAGGAGTGACAGACCATGAACCGACTGTTTGGGACAAGGAGTGAGAGACCATGAACCGACTGTTTGAGATAAGGAGTGAGAGACCATGAACCGACTGTTTGAGATAAGGAGTGAGAGACCATAAACCGACTGTTTGAGACAAGAAGTGAGACACCATGAACCGACTGTTTGGGACAAGGAGTGAGAGACCATGAACCGATTGTTTGAGACAAGGAGTGAGAGACCATGAACCGACTGTTTGAGATAAGGAGTGAGAGACCATGAACCGACTGTTTGGGACAAGGAGTGAGAGACCATGAACCGACTGTTTGGGACAAGGAGTGAGAGACCATGAACCGACTGTTTGAGACAAGGAGTGAGAGACCATGAACCGATTGTTTGAGACAAGGAGTGACAGACCATGAACCGACTGTTTGAGACAAGGAGTGAGAGACAATGAACCGATTGTTTGAGACAAGGAGTGACAGACCATGAACCGACTGTTTGGGACAAGGAGTGAGAGACCATGAACCGACTGTTTGAGATAAGGAGTGAGAGACCATGAACCGACTGTTTGAGATAAGGAGTGAGAGACCATAAACCGACTGTTTGAGACAAGAAGTGAGACACCATGAACCGACTGTTTGGGACAAGGAGTGACAGACCATAAACCGATTGTTTGAGACAAGGAGTGACAGACCATGAACCGACTGTTTGAGATAAGGAGTGAGAGACCATAAACCGACTGTTTGAGACAAGAAGTGAGACACCATGAACCGACTGTTTGGGACAAGGAGTGACAGACCATGAACCGATTGTTTGAGACAAGGAGTGACAGACCATGAACCGACTGTTTGAGATAAGGAGTGAGAGACATGAACCGACTGTTTGGGACAAGGAGTGAGAGACTATGAACCGATTGTTTGAGACAAGGAGTGACAGACCATGAACCGACTGTTTGGGACAAGGAGTGACAGACCATGAACCGACTGTTTGAGACAAGGAGTGAGAGACCATGAACCGACTGTCTGAGACAAGGAGTGAGAGACCATAAACCGCCTGTTTGAAATGGGTAATTAACGAGGACAAGTATGTTCCACCGGTTGTGGGACTTAGAAAAAAGAATCTGCCACCAAATTCCTGCTGGGTACACCGAGCATGGAGACACTGAGATAACCTCTGCATCGGAGGAGGGAGCACCAATGAGTGAGGCCGATGTGCTAGATCTCGATATTGAACAGAAGTAAGACGTAGAGATAGATTTGACAATTATCATTAGGTAGGCAGGTAGGTAATTGTACCACACCAGGACATTACACAAGTGATAAACACCTGGTGACACAAAGTGCCACCATGCGGATGAGGATCACCCGTGGAGAGGTCCCAGAAACCCCTTTCGGCCGTTTAGGCCATATCTATATCCCGGCTATCTTTAGATCCCCCGACAAAAGCCAGGGTGGGGCTTCAAAATAAAAAAAATAAAAACTGCATCCCTCGAGGGGACGACTTTGCAGTAAAATTATCAGTTGGGTTTGTTTTGAAATATTGTAAAACGGACCTGATGGTCGTCCCCTGAAACAAATACCACAAAGTCACATCGGGGTCAGTGGGAAACTTCTTGAAACCACCGATATAGCCAACTATCTTGGAACTATCGATACAGCCAACTAACTATCTTGGAACTATCGATACAGCCAACTAACTATCTTGGAACTATCGATACAGCCAACTAACTATCTTGGAACTACTGATACAGCCAACTATCTATCTTGGAATTATCGATACAGCCAACTAACTATCTTGGAACTACTGATACAGCCAACTAACTATCTTGGAACTACTAATACAGCCAACTATCTATCTTAGAACTATCGATACAGCCAACTAACTATCTTGGAACTATCGATACAGCCAACTAACTATCTTGGAACTATCGATACAGCCAACTATCTATCTTGGAATTATCGATACAGCCAACTAACTATCTTGGAACTACTGATACAGCGAACTAACTATCCTGGAACTACTGATACAGTGAACTATCTTGGAACTACAGATACAGCAAACTATCTTGAACTATCGATACAGCAAACTAACTATCTTGGAACTATCGAAAAGACAAACCGATTCTTTGCTGCTTGGCTTCGATTTCACGGCCACGTTCTTTAGTGCCGGATTTGCTGGAGCAGCAGTGAATATCTGGACCACCGGATCAACAGACTGCACTCCCTTGGCGCTGTGTTTCTGGTTATGTCTCTTGTCAGGCCATGGTTCGGTGGTTGGTAGTCTGTCTGCTAGCTCACTGGAAGTAGCTAGCGAGTTTGTGTTGTCCATCTGCCCGAACTCTTCTGACTGACTGCCTTTGGGTGTAACAACAACAGGATTTGGTGACGATGTTGCTTCCCCATGGGTCTGAATTTTCCCAGCTTTGGGAATTTTATCTTCTAGAGCATCGGAAAGGTCAAGGCCTTCTGCTGGTAGAGAAATATTTTCGTATCTACTAAAAAACAGAATTATGGGATTGTGACACTTTACATTTTTGTCACTAATGCTAGTGTTATCCTTTCTATGATTCGCGCCGTTTGTTCCTCGGTGACACACTGCAAAACGTGGCACCGGACAATGGCTGGAGTCAACAGATTCAGGTCGTGGTGTGTCACATTCAGGATCTAGCAGACGGTAGTCTTGGCGTCCATCTTTGTTTTGGCGTGATCGTCGCCTTTTGCTGGCCTCCTCGTGTCCACCAGGAGCAGGAGAGACAGCGGGTGTGGAGTTATGGGGTTTGGTGGCATTGTGACCATACTCCGAGGATTCTCTGACCAGCTCCGGTTCCAAAGCATAATCGTTCAGTTTAGGGAAGTGTACAAAGTTCATGGTCATTAGATCAGGAAACGTCTAGACTGGACGAGGTCATGAATAAGACCAAACGGGTCACACCCACATTGTCAATATTCGTGACTGGCTCAGTCCTCTTCTTCCATATTTACCAGAAAGTTCCCAGGCTAATGGTGTCACCTGCCACACACCTGCCTGTCTTCACGTTGAAGGACACACTGTTCCTGGACACACTGTTCCTGAACACACTGTTCCTTGACACACTGTTCCTGGACACACGGTTCCTGGACACACTGTTCCTGGACACACGGTTTCTGGACACACGGTTCCTGGACACATAAAATTCCCTGACTTTCTATAAACTCTTGGTCGGTTCTGTTACATTATTTCTAACCAAGGCCATCTGACAGGACATAGGTCAAGGTCGGCCTGAATGCTGCGCTCCAGAAATTAATCCTGTAAAAGGCTGACGGGTCAAACACAAAATGTCGGGAACCGCTGCTTTGTTATATACGAGCAAGTGTCACCTGGTGTATGACTAGCAAGTGCCACCTGGTGTATGACTAGCAAGTGTCACCTGGTGTATGACTAGCAAGTGTCACCTGGTCTATAACTAGCAAGTGTCACCTGGTCTATGACTAACAAGTGTCACCTGGTCTATGACTAGCAAGTGTCACCTAGTGTATGACTAGCAAGTGCCACCTGGTCTATAACTAGCAAGTGTCACCTGGTGTATGACTAGCAAGTGTCACCTGGTCTATAACTAGCAAGTGTCACCTGGTCTATGACTAACAAGTGTCACCTGGTCTATGACTAGCAAGTGTCACCTGGTGTATGACTAGCAAGTGCCACCTGGTCTATAACTAGCAAGTGTCACCTAGTGTATGACTAGCAAGTGTCACCTGGTCTATAACTAGCAAGTGTCACCTGGTCTATGACTAACAAGTGCCACCTGGTCTATGACTAGCAAGTGTCACCTGGTGTATGACTAGCAAGT